CCCTCCTGGCTCTCGGACTGTGAGGAAACACATTTCTGTCGTTGAAGCCATCTGGTCTGTGGCACTTCGCTATGGCAACCCTCGCAAACTCACGCAGGTGCTGAATCCCCCATCCCAGGAGGATGTTCCGTGTGGACAAACTCACTCTTCTCCACCTCTGTGCTCTGTGCCTTACCCTGAGCCCGAGGGCCCAGTCCTCCAGCCTCCCCAGGCGCCTGCCTTGCACGCTGCCTGGGACCGCAGCTCCTTCAGGACCTGCCCCTCTTCCCCCTGAGAAAGCCAGCATTTCCCCGGCGCATTCTGCTGCGACTGATGTTAAGGCCAGTTGTTGGCCTAGCGGGCAGAGGGCACTTGAGTGTGTGTGAACGTGGGTGCGCAGGCGCCTGCAGGGCGGGGGCCTCTGCTCAGTGTCTCTGAGTCCTGGGCCTGGTCCTTGGTCTTCTCTGTGATTTGGATGCATGTAGCTCAATCCTTCCCGTGCTGGCAGCGAAGTCTCCGGCTGTGGCACTTGGGATGTAATTGATGGTTAATGTCCCCAGGCTTCATTGTCACTCTCCCAGACGTCAGCTGCCCTCGGTAACAGCCATCCAATCTCGCCTTTTAATGACTCTTGCCCGTATGTGTTTCTCAAACAGCCGAGTCTTAGCTCTGGCTGTGCATCTCCTGCTGGATGGACCGCCCCAGTTCACTTTGCTGAATGTTTTAGCCATTTCTCTGGTACTTTGAGCAGGGGTTATATGATGGGGTCTTCATTGCTGGTGGGAAGGGCGTGATCCAGCCCCCCAAATCCCGTCCATGAGCCACCACTTCTTGAATTATGGCTGGCATCAGGGTGGCCTCCTGGGGAAGAGTGCAAGGGGGATGTGAGAGCGTCGAATGTTTGCTGGGTGCGCCTGTGCACCAGGAAGGGATGGCTGGGGGTGGGCTAGGGCAGAGCTGGGTGGTCCGCTGTCGTCTCGTGGAAGCCAGCGGGGCCTTCAGAGTCATGTCGAGTTGGGGCAGGTGGGTCGGGCTGTCACGTTCCTGGCTTGTCAATCAGTTGCTGAGCAGCAAGTCCCAGGAAAGAATCTTCAGCGCTGCCTTCAGCGCTGGGCAGCACCCGCAGAGGACAGGTGGCCCTCCCCGCCCCGGGGAAAGGCACCCTTCAGTCCTCAAGTGGGAGCTGAAAAAATGCATGGACAACACAGGACGAAAACCGGAAAGTATTTGTTTGGTCGGGGCCACGTTGAACCCTGCAACGTGGCATGAGGTTTAGTGCTGAGGTCTCCTGTTGGTGGACGGAGAGAAATGCTGAAACCGTGCCACCGCCCGGCGGCAGCACTTGGACCAGACGTGCCATCAGGGGCTGGGTTATTTTTGTCATCCCTCAGGTGGAAGACTCTGCCTTAAAGGCTCAGCCGCCTCTGCCGCTCAGACACTAGGCCTCAGGTGTGAGTCTGAGCCCCCACCTGCTGCCGAGCTGTCCTCAAGCCAGAAGTGACACTGAGCCCCTCTGTCATCGGCACGCTGGGCGCCGATGAAGGTGAAGTGGGGGGGGGGGGACTGCAGACGTAGACACAATGGGCTCACGCAGTTTCTGGTCTGTGCGTCCCGGAGCCGACCACAACAAAAGCTCCGAAGAGGAAAGGTCAGACCGTGAAGTGGTATTTGTTCTCACTGAAACTCCATCCCACCCACTTAACACCCGTCTAACCAGCGACGGAATCAATTACCACGTGTCAGCCCGAAATCCGACCCAAGAAATGGAAGAAGGACACAGCCTCCCCAGGGGGCTGCCAGGCAGGCGGGGGGCAGGGGGGGAGGCGGGGGAGGGAGGCCGTGAATGAGCCTGTGAGTGAGGCTCTCCTGTGACTGAGGGTCGGAGGCGGCCGAGGCCCTGCCTCCCCTCCCCACCCCTCTCCAGCCTGGGTGCTGTTCCTGGTGCACCAATGGGACATTTCTGTCAGGAAGGGTGGTCAGCAGGCCTGGAGGGTACTTGACCTTGGTTACGTAAGTTGCCTCATTTAATAACTGAAGACCAAGAAGTCTGGGCGTTCATCACTTCACAGAGCGGCAGGAGGGAGCACTCCTGGCAGGCAGGTCGTGTTGGCCGCCAGGACCTGTCTGAACTGATTTAGCTGTCGCGTTTCTGGGGCCGCCGTTAAGGGTGGTGTCAGCTGGTCCAGAGCGCCCATTTCAGGTGCGCAAGTGCTGGCGTTCACTTGCTACATTTATGGGCGTCACTAAAAGAGAGCTCTGTGGGCTGCTCGGGGGGGACCCATAATTGCAGTGGAGACTCTCGGGGAAGTTAGCCTAGCGCTATGTCACTGTTCTATTACACTGATGTTTTCAGTTCCCCAAAGCGAAGGTTTTCGTTAACAAATGACACCTGGAATCTTAAACATAGATCGATAGGCTCCCAGGATGAAGGGCCCTCTCACCTTCGTGGAACGCACCCGGCGGTCCTTTTCCAGTCTGCCCTGCAAGTGGCAGTGGCCGTCACCAGGCCGTGCCCTGCTGGAGTGAAGCGTTGGTTAGCCTGGAACACGGGCACGGAGACCAGGAGGCATCGCCCTGCGCCTGCTGGTGGTTATTAAAAGGCGTTTCCCTGTATTGGGAGGAATACCAGAAAGGCCAAATTCCGGCTCGCAGCAGAAATGTGACTGGCCTCCTAGTGCGGGACGCCTCCTGTGGCCTGAGTTGTTCGCTCCGTCTGTCCTGTGCTGCCGTCGATGCCTCTGCACGACACGGCCTCCGGGGTGTTTCTTTCCTCCGGATTCGAGCGGCGCCCAGGCTTTGGTTCTTTGGTCCACAGAGAGACACGTGTGTGCGCCTGTCCTTAGTGTTCTCAAAGGGACGCCACCCTCACCGCCTACACCTAATCCCGCTACGTCTTCACCGGTGTCCGGCTCTTCGTGTCCCCAGGCTCAGCCCTGCCCTGCTGTCTCCCAGACACCTCCACCCCAGCCTGGCCCCAGGGGCATCCAGCAGGTCCCCCGATTTGTCTCACCCTCCACAGCTGTTCTCCACGTCACACGGAACCAAATCCCTGGGGCCACTTAGGCTTGGAACCCGAGATACATTCTTGAATCCCTGTCTCCCTCATCCTGACATCATCGGATGTTACTGATTTTCCCTCCTAAATATCCCTCACTTCCCCCGTCTTCACTGTCCCTGCTACCGTGGCCCTATTTTGTGCCCCAGGCTCTCTCCTGCCCAGGTGGTCAGCCTCAGAGCTCACCTCTGTGGCTTTGCTCACGTTGTCCTCTCTTGCTAGACTTGCTAGAGGTCCTGCTAGATCTCTCTTGCATTCCTTTTTTCTTTTTCTAACTAGTGAGCCTTGAGACTTTAAGAGTCAAATGAGGCATCACTTTTTTTTTCAAAGAAAACATCAATCACTTGTTTTCAAACCCTTCATTTTCTCTTGTGTTCTCTGTTTTCCCAAACCATCCCTGTTTCCCCACTGCTCTTAGCAAGTTTAGGGTCACCTTTGCCCCGAGATGATGGTGGTTACCAAATGCTGACTCACCGCCGGCCGCTCCCCACTCTCCTCCCGGTCTCAGCCACTGCTTTCCAGGCGGAAGCCCACCTGCTTTCTGCGAAAGCCAATGTGCTTGTCTCCTGGAGCCTCTTCCCTTAATCTTCCGATGGGCACACGAATCATCAGGTTTACGTTCGCAAAGTACTTCCTCGTTCGAACCTTCCCTGGATCCATTTTCTGCAGAGAAATGTCCTCACCCCCGGAGCACTGCATGCGGGCCCTTTGCGACCTGCCCCTCATTTACTGTTTCCGAGGCAGGTGCTGCCGTGTCTCCCAGGTTAGCAGCTGCCTCCGAGCTGCGTGTCGTGCTCATGCTGTTGGCCCATGGCCATGCTGTCCTGGACTGGGACTGCCTCTCTGGGTGCTGGACTCCTCCTCCCCTCCAAGACCTAATTTAATGGAGAACTACCACTTTCGGTCCCCCCTGCTTCCACCAGTGACGACAGACTGCCTTTCCTGGCGGTCTCCATGACGCCGGCACCCCTGGTTTGCTGCTCCTCAGGCAGCCCAGCCTTCCGGGCACCCGGACATCAGTTTTCCTCTGTTCCTGCGGACGCCTCCGCGGGGGCTTCACTGCCGTTTGTGCCCCTCAGTCCTCCCCTGTAGCAGCCCCTCTTTAACGTCATCGCGGGGGATGGAAGACCATGCACTTTAAATGTGTTTCAGGAGGAGAGTTCCTTACGTTCTGATTGTGTTCCTCCTTTAGTCTTTGCCATCAGTGTTCCTCAAATCTCTATTAACAGTCTTTGATCTTTTTAACATTTAATCCATTAAAACAGTTACTTAACAGAAGGTCAAATTCATATATGTATGACAGAGAAGGTGCTTCTGAGTTGTTGGTTTAAAATCAACCATTTGATTACCTGGTTGGGAAATGTAGGACTTGATGCCTTTTTGGTGTGAACGCAAGAGTGGTTCATAAATCATCTTTCTTTCTTTTAAAGACTTTATTTTTAGGGGGTGGGGGGAGAGACAGAGAGAAACATCCATGTGTAGTTGCCTGTGGAGCACCCCCTACTGGGGGCCTGGCCCGCAACCCAGGTGTGCGTCCGAAACAGGAATCAAACTGGGGATCCCGTGGTTCACAGGTGGGTGCTCAGTCTGCTGAGCCACACCAGCCAGGGCAGCTTTAGACAATGTCCACTAAGTAATTGATGTTCTGTGAAAGCAAGAAGCAAACAGAAGACCAGCGCCTCCCCCCAGGAACATTATAATGTTTATGTCATAATAACATCTAATGACCTTATAACAATGCATTTGAGAATGCCCCATAGCCCTCTGTCCCCAAGCCTTCTTCCTTCAGGTTCTCAGTTGAGCGCCCCTCCCCCCACCCCACCGTCCTCTGCGAACTTGGAACTTCACGTTACACAGCCCCGCACAAGCCAGAGCACGTGACACAGGGGCCCTGCGAAGCAGACGAGTGACGCAACCCCGCGGGACCCTGTGGCCTCGGCCAGACGTTGGCGCTCGCGGCTGGAAGATGGCGGAGCCGTTTGCTGCAGGAGAGGCGGCGGGCCAGGTGTGCCCCTTCGAGTTCAAAAGGCCCAGCCGCAAAGGGGCTGCAGGCCTTCGGAAGCGCCTGGCCTGCGACCCGGAGCCTGGGGACAGTAGTGGCGGGGACGAGGGCGGCTCCGCGGTTCGCCGCGCGGAGAGGCGGGGGCCTGCCCGCAATCCCTTGATCCAGAGGACCCGCGGCGCTGGTCCACAGGGGGTGGCCGACTGTGACGCCGGGAGCGAGGAGGAGGCAGAGGCCCCCCGTGTGGTCTACAAGTCCACCCGCTCGGCCAAACCCGCGGGGCCCGAGGACATGGGGGCGACTGCCGGCTGCCAGCTGGGCCCCGACAAGGAGCGCGACGCACAGGCCATCTTGGAGCGCAGCCGGAGGAGCCAGGAGGAGCTGAGGGGCAAGGAAGACGACAAGATCTATCGCGGAATCAACAACTATCGGCAGTACGTGAGGCCCAAGGATGCCTCCGGCTCCTTGCGGAAGGGCCCCATCCGCGCGCCCGAGCACCTGCGCGCCACCGTGCGCTGGGATTACCAGCCCGAGGTTTGTAAGGACTACAAGGAGACGGGCTTTTGTGGCTTCGGAGACAGCTGCAAGTTCCTCCACGACCGGTCAGACTACAAGCATGGGTGGCAGATCGAACGTGAGCTTGAAGAGGGTCGCTATGGCGTCTCTGAGGATGAAAACTTCGAAGTGGGAAGCGAGGGTCAGGAACTACCATTCAGCTGTTTCATCTGTCGCCAGACCTTCCGAAACCCGGTTGTCACCAAATGCAGGCATTATTTCTGTGAGAGCTGTGCATTGGAGCATTTCCACACCTCCCCACGCTGCTACATCTGTGACCAGCTGACCAACGGCATCTTCAATCCTGCGAAAGAATTGATTGCGAAACTGGAGAAACATCAAGCTACAAAAGAGGACGAGGGGAAGGTGCCAGAGGAAAAGGCAGATGGTGGAGTAGGGTCCTGGATAGGTGGCTTGTAAAAGCATCAAGATGTCCTGCAAAAATCTGCAAGCAGAAAAGAGCACCGGGCCACAGCCATGAAGAGCCTGGACAGGGTGCCACCAAGAACTAAATTATTGAGATAGAATTGCTAAAAGTTGCACAGGGACTGAGCAGTCAGCAGAGCTCACAACCCTGAACCCCTTATTCATGGTTTTTTTTTGCCTTTAAAACTCCCCAGTTGTAAGCCATTGGTGATTGGTTTTTTAAAAGTATATTTTATTGATTATGCTATTACAATTGCCTCATTTTTTTCTCCCCTTTATTCTTCTCCCCTTTATTCTTCTCTGCTTTGCCTGCCCCCTCCCACCAGATTTCTTCCCCCCGCCCCCGTAGTTAATATCCATGGGTTGTATATGGAAGTTCTTTGGCTTCTCCATTTCCCATACTATTCTTAACCTCCTCCTGTCTATTTTGTATCTGCCATTCATGCTGCTTATTCCCTGTACTCTTTCCCCCATTCTTCCTCCTACCCCTCCCTGCTGATAACCCTCCATGTGATCTCCATTTCTGTGATTCTGTTCCTCTTCTAGTTGTTTGCTTAGTTTGTTTTTTTTTTAGGTTCAGTTGTTGATGTTTGTATTTTTTATCTTTTTCTTAGATAAGTCCCTTTAACATTTCATATAATAAGGATTTGGTGATGATTAACCCTTTTAACTTGATCTTATCTGGGAAGCATTTTGTCTGCCTTTCCATTTTCAATGATAGTTTTGCTGGATAGAGCAATCTTGGATACAGGTCCTTGCCTTTCATGACATCGAATACTTCTTTCCAGCCCCTTCTTGCCCACAAAGTTTCTTTTGAGAAATCAGATGATAGCCTTATGGGAACTCCTTTGTAGGTAACTGTCTCCTTTTCTCTTGCTGTTTTTAAGATTCCTTATCCTTAATTTTGAATAATATAATTATGATGCGCCTTGGTGTGTGCTTCCCTGGGTCCAACTTCTTTGGAACTCTCTGAGCTTCCTGGACTTCCTGGAAGTCTGTTTCCTTCTCCAGGTTGGGGAAGTTCTCCTTCATTATTTGTTCGAATAAGTTTTCAATGTCTTGCTCTTCTCCTTCTGGCATCCCTATGATTTGGATGTTGGAATATTTAAAGTTGTCCCAGGGGTCCCAAGCCTCTCCTCATTTTTTGGATTCTGGTTTCTTCATTGTGTTCTAGTTGAATGTTTATTTCTTCCTTCTGCTCCCAATCGTTGATCTGAGTTCCAGTTTCCTTCCCTTCACTGTTGGTTCCTTGTATATTTTGCTTTATTTCACTTTGCATGGCTTTCTCCTGTTCTTCTACTTTGCGACCATAATCAACCATTTCTGCGAGCATCCTGATTACCAGTGTTTTGAACTCTGCATCTGATAGGTTGGCTATCTCTTGAGTGCTCAGTTCTGTTTTTGGACTTTTGATCTGTTCTTTCATTTGGGCAGTATTTCTGTATCTCTGTGTAACTGTTATGTAGTAAGGGGTGGAGCCTTAGGTATTTGCCAGGATGGGTTAACCCGCATCACTGCATTGTGGTGCTGTATGTGGGAAAGGGGTCCGAGAGGGAACAATGCCACTTGCTCAGCTCTTGGCCAGCTTTCAGTCACTTCCTTTACTACCCACAAACAAATTGGGCCCAGCTGGTGCTGATTCCCAGGTGGGTGGGTTTGTGTAAGTTCTAGGACCCTGTGAGTCTCTCCAGAGAACTCTCCTGTGAGGCTGGGAGTTCTCCTCCTGCCATAACTCCCACAGGATTTCATAGCCAGAGGTCTTGAGATTTTATTTTACTGCATGGGGACCCTGGGTTGTGCCATTTGTCTTGCTCCCCAGTCGTTCCTCCTGGTTTATCCTCATGTGGATATGGGACCGCATGGTCCACCAGCCACTGCCTCGCCCACCTGGGTCTTCTGGCTGCTGCCTTGCTGCAAGTCCTGTCTGTCCTGACTACCAGTCTCTGCCCCTCCTACTAGGCTGGATGAATGTTTTTTCTTTAACTCCTTGGTTGTCAGATTTTCATATAGTTTGATTTTCTGGCATTTCTGGCTATTTTTTGTTTTGAAATTTGTGTTATCCTTCTGTTGGTTGTATGAGGAGGCAAAGTGTATTTATCTACACCTCTATCTTGGTTGGAAGTAATGATTTGGGTTTTAGGCGATGGCTTCCAGCTTTCCTCTGGTGCCCTGCTGTAAAGCCATTCAATTTCTCCACTACAGACGAACAAAAATAACCCAGTCATGTGACGCATTTCAACTTTATGTTTCATACTGGAGCCCAAACAGGTAAAACTGAAATCACGTGCCATGAACTAAGTTTCTCTGGTTTCAGTCAGGCCCCTGCCCTAAGGAATCCACTTCATTTTTCTTTTGCAGTTCAGGGAATGGACAGTAGAAATGAACAGCCTAAACTGTATCTCGCTACATAATAAATGGATGTCAGATGAAATGCAATATACGATGTGAACATGTGGACCACAGACGACTTTTAGATGAGACTAACATGTTCAACGGGTGCTTTCGGCAAAATTCTCCACTAGGCTCATTGTTCTGAAGCTGAAATACAAGACGTTGACTGTCTAGTATGCTCTTCTGAAACCTGAAGTTTAACTTGAATCCCTTTGAAGTCTTTTATTATGATTAATGAATCATTTCATCATTTTGCTACATTCAAAGGCCCTCAACAAAAGATAAAATTGAGTGCCTTACTAATCAAGGATACCACAAAATATTAAAAATCAGGCGAAAATGTGACATGAACAGTAATACTAAACTTAAAAGCCTGTATCAATTGCCACAAATTAGGGAAGAGTTTGGAAACATTTAAGATTTTTTAAAAGTGCGCAGGACATGTTTCAGGAACCACCTGTGAACTACTTGGGTGCTATTTGTAATGAAAGTAAATCTGGTTGATACTTTTTTCCCAGAGGAGGCTTTATAGTTGAGTTTGGCATCACAAAGCCAGGCAGGATGGAGAAGGCCTTTACCTGCCTGTTTGTAAGCTGAGGTGCCCAGGATAGGCCTGGGTTTGGGCCCCACGTCTGTCAGCCACTGCTGGGATAAAACTTACTTTTTTAGGGAGGCTGTTTTTTGTCCCTGTGGGGAGGGATATCACCCACAGACATAAGATTTTGGGGTTCTTGGCAAAGACTGCTGAGAACCCACCTTGCCCTTTGTTTCACTCTCAACACCCTGAGACAATCTCCACGACGTGACGCACTGCAGAGAGCTCGAGACGTCAATGCCAACACCCATGGGAGAGGCTTGGGATAAGTTCATGTGGGAGCCTCCAGCAGAAGCGCTGCTCAGCCCAGGGGCCTGGTGAGGACGTAGGGATTGCTAACCAGGCTGGCGAACAACACAGACTGACGTACCAAGACTGTCCCCGGCAAGAATCCAGACCCCGCCCGAAGATGGTGACTTCCAGAGTGGTTTTGAAAGTGATGATAAGGAACTTCCTGATGTCTTACCTTGGAGTTTTCCCCCCATTTTCCACAACGAGGCAGTGAAGCCCCACATGGCGTATCAGACAGTTTGTCCAGCCCAGTTCTGCCCTCATCTCACATACTGGTCGTGTTCCTCCCCAGATCACAAATCTTCATGGGCCCTCCCTTTGCTTCAAGGGGCAGTCCACAGTCTTTGGCTGGTGTTCGAAGCCGTCTAAAAACTGGCCCAAGCTTACTCTTGCAGGCTACGTCCCCTGCTCCTCACCAGTAATTCTTTACCAGAGTCAAAGTTACTCCTAAGTGCACCTTCCATCTGCCTGTCCCAGAATGACTCTCTGTGCCGTTGACTTACCCCTAGAACGATTCTCTGTGTTTGCTCTTGTCCAATGGAAACTTTGTCTGGACTCAAAAACCCTCTGTCATCTCACCCAGGAAAGCATCCCAGATCACCCAAGGTCGATGTCATGGTTTCCTTTAATCTGCCTTAAAAGAGTCCATGCCGTCTAATACGGTCACCCTGTGTACCTGTCGAGAACCCTGGGCTGCCGTAAGCTCATAGATAATAAGGGACGCTTCTTGTTTCTCCTTTCACAGCAGCACACAATGCCTAGCGTGTGTACTGGCTGCTCAGTGCGTAGTGTTGAGCTCACTCGGTGCCTTATGCCTCTTTGTAACTCTTGGTACCTAAAGTAGTGCACATACAAACTCATTCATCCATTTATCTATTCTCTTTGTTGAATACCTCCTCCATCCAGCTCTGTGCTTGTCCCTGGAAATAACAGCAATGAGCAATAAAATTATGGTGCCTGTCTTTGCAAAGTTTATAACCTCATGGGGAAAAGAAAAAGTCTCACAACTGACAAATACTTGTGGCTCACAGTTATTGGAAGTGGGGCAGCTGGAGTGGGCGGGGCCTTTAAGGGGCCATGATGGTGGCTGCCAGAAGACCAGGCTGGAATGAGTGCGATGGTCAGAGCCGAGCGGTTGCAGAAGGGGCACAGGTAATAAGTAGAGGAAGGAAATTCCTCTTTAGGGTGGGAGGCCAGAGCTGAGTGGGCAGGACCAGGGCGACATTTGCACGAGTCACCCCATTTGGTGGTTACGATTGGATATTATGAGGGCCATATTGCTGAGAGGACCCCAATGCGTGAGGTTAAAAAATCTTCTGGAACATTATGGGGACCAAATACTTTGGTTGCTGGTTTGGTTTGATTGAGGGCAACAGATTTGTTATATTTCAGCCTGTCCATCTTGTTAACCAAACGTTCTTTTCCCCTTTGCACACGGCGCCTTTGTGTGCACTGTGTTTATCTTCTGCTTCTCGGCCTGAGCGCAGTCTGATTTTTGGGGCACAATGTACAGTCCTTGCTTGTTAATAAGATTCATTTTGTTCTTCAGTAAATACACATAGAATTGTACATTGCCACCAGATTAACATTTTTCAAAGAAGATATTATCGAAGTATGTTTTTGGCAATTGTGGGACTAAACAGGAAGAGACAGCCCGCGGTGCAACACTGAATTCGCAGAATTGCGAGTAGGCACCACTGTCTCGTTTAGGGCTCAC